CTGGGAGTTGAAGTCCACTCATCTTAAAGTGGCCAAGTTTGGACAACACTGCCCTAGGGGTATAAGAAGGGCACAGAAAAGTTCTTGGTTAATAAAGATTATGCTAGGAATTGGAGTTCTGATTTGCAGCAGGATAGCTTCCCGCTTATTTAAAAAAAAAATCTAAAAAGAATAGATTCAGGCATGGAGATTCATTAATACTAAGACAGACATATTGGCACCCATGGTTGCAATCTGGAAATTCACCTTCTAGAATTCTCACATCTGCTTCCTCCTCACGCCTTAAAATAAATCAGTCATTCTCTACTATTGCTGACAAGGAGCCAAATCATGGGACTTAGGTTGGCAGCTGTGTCTTTGTTGCTTGTGCAGTACTGATTCTAATATGGGTTCTTCCTGGAACAGGCTCTGTTTTGTATCTTGCAGAGTAACCAGAGAACTAGTTCTTGCTATGCATGTAGTCCTTGATCTACGACCATTTGGTCAGCAACCATTCCAAGTTACAATGGCACTGAACAAATGGTGGTTATGACCAGTCCTCGGAGTTCCAGCTCTCCCAGCAACCCCATGGTGATGTGATCGTGATCTGGGTGTTTGGCAATTCGTTCGTGCTTATGACCGGTTGCCAAGTGCCCCCCGATCATATGATTGCCATTTGCAACCTTCCTTGCTGGCTTCCCTAGAAAGTCAATGGGGAAGCTGGCAGGGAAGGTCGCAAGTCACTGAGCTAAGTCTCCCCCACCCGTGCACCGTCCCCCAGGCCCTCTGTACTCACATCATGTTGGCCACTCATACACCCCACACCCCGCCCTGACCAGTGCCTCTCACCACCCGTGCTGTGCCTTTTATGCACCCCCTTGCATCCTCATGCACCTTCCCTGACTGCAGTACCTCTTGCGTGCCCCCATGCCCCCTCCTAGACCCGTGCGGTGCCTCTTGCACACCCCCTCACACCCCCAACCTGCATGACACCTCTTGAACACCCTCCCCAACCCACATGGCACCTCTCATGCATCGCCTCGTGCTCTTGCACACCCTTGACCCCCTCACACTGTTGTGGACCTTCCCCAACCCTCGCACACTCTCCCCGTACTGCACCTTGCACACTTTCTCCAACCATCTGCTGCACCCCCATGCATCCCCTTACTCCCTCCCCACCCAGCAGCAGCCACTTACTTGCCTGTGGGCCTGGGACTTGCAACTTCCTATTGGTTTCCCCACTGACTTCGAATGTGGGAAGACAGCAGGAAGTTGCCTTGCCTTCTGACCTTGGGTTTCAGTTAACAATGGCAATCAGGACTGCAGGGATTGCCATTGCTAAGCAATGTGGTTGCACTTTACAATAGCATCACTTAGCAATAGAAATTTCGGTCCCAATTGCCGTCGTAAGTCGAGGACTATCTGTACTTTAGGGTTGGTACCCTGGCCATGAAACTGCAATAAACAGCAAAGTATACCCACTCCTTGTTTAGTGACTAAGTTCTGATCCAGCAACCAGGTCATTAAGTGAAATGGTTGCTAATTGAATATGTGGGTGTGTCGTCCAGCATGTGAAATTTGGTTGTAAATGCACACATTGGTTGCAAATGAATTTTTTTATTAGTGTTTATTACTGTCCTATTTGCTAATGGTCGCTAACTAAGGTAGCTAAACGAGGAGTGGCTTTATTGGTATTATTCTGCACAGAATACTGGTCAACTTTAGTTTTGAAAATATTTTGTAACTTGTTCCCAAATTGATACAGGTAATCCTTGACTTACGTCCATTCTTTCAGCAACTGTTCAAAGTTACAGTAGCGCTGAAAAAATGGATATACGCATAGTTCTCGAAGTTCTGGCCATCACAGTGCCCAGATTGTCATCATGATGTTAGAGGGAACCATGATCGCCATTTGCAGTCTTCCCTGCTGGCTTCCCACAAGCAAAGTCAATGAGGAAGGCGGCAGGGAAGGTCGCAATTTGTTCTGGTAAATCATTCCCACTTTTTCTCCTGCCTCCCAGGCCCTCCCCCACCTCTCCCCTGTCCCCACAGCACCTCCATGCTCCTTACTTGGGACTCCTCCCTCTTCCCACTTAATGACCCACACATCTTGGGGTTATGACAGCAACTGGGACTACCTGGGATTGCCGTCACTAAGCGATGTGGTCACGTGATGTTGTGTTTTATGACCACATTGCTTAGGGATGGCAATCCTAGTCCCAATTGCTGTCGTAACCCGAGGACTAGCGGTAATTGATGTCTGTTGTATATGTGCTAAATTATCTTCAGTAAAGTTGTGCATGTAGCACTTATTGAAATTAGGAAATTTCTCTTGATCACGGACTCTTGAAAAAAAGCCAATATATTTATAATTTCAGAGTAGTGAAGCAATGACAAAAATTACTATATTCCTTGTTTATCACTAGTAAATAAATCTTATTGTCATATTTTCTAATTAAACTTTCCAAATTAGCTTCAAAGTAATCTCTTACGTAAAAAGTACTGTAAGAATCAAGATGGGAGGATATGCATCAGTTGTTCTTCTATAAGAAGTATGACATTTGGGATATCAAAGGGACTATTCTCAACCTAGGAATCCTGTAGAAATTTGCATTCTGGAGATGCCCAAATTATAGCTGCACTTTTAAAGAAAGTAGGACTTAACTTTTTACTACAAATTAAGAATCTGGAGCTATCTGCAATTAGTAAGTGCAACTGTACCAGTTTCATCTGGCCATTAACTATTATTTGTGGGCTGAACTATTTTAGCCCTGCTTCCCTTTTATTCAAAAGCAGTAGTCTAAATCAGATATTATCTTATGTATAAAGAAAATGTATCACTTAACTGTGGTGCCCTGGTTATCAAAACCATCTATGTTTGCTTATCATGTATGCTTACAAAGGAAGGTACAATCACAGTGCCTCATAATCAGCACATCCCTTGTTCATCAATAACCCTTCAATTCATAGGCTTTACCTTTCATACTTGTCCTCTTTCAAGTATATTGTATAAAACTTTAAAGTTAAACAGCAATATCTAGAATTCAAGCTAGATGTAAATTTGGCAATCGATAGACCATGTACAATCTTTATGGTTAACACCAGAAATCAGTATTGTTGGTAGCATACTGAACCAACTGCAGATTTCAGTCGTATATAAAATGCACAGCAACATGGAAATTCAGAGATCAGGGCATTGACAGTAGCAGCCTTTATTCAACAGTAGTAAGACCATTTATATGCCATGTGGAAAAACAACCAAATGAATTTAAACTACTGAAGTTATCCTTGTCAAATGATTTATCTCACTAGTTTTTAATAACATAGTGGATGGATCTTTATAATACTGACTAGAAGATGTGTTAAGTGAGTGTGGTAGATTCATTAGAGAGAGGTTTGAATGACTTGATACATTTTCCTAAATAGTGTTCTATGTAATTGCGTATTCACTACTATTATTTTATGTTATACCAGAGTAAAATGTTAGTATTTGGAAGTTGTATATTTTGCATTGCTTTTATAAGACTGTGATTTCTGATTTGCTTTTCTACTTCCTCTTCCTAGGATAGAGGATTATTGGCGTATTTTGCTAATTTTCGTCTGCTTGCAGAAGTCTCTACCCCTTTTGTGAATCAGCGGTAGGTGATACTTCCTATAAGTTATTCTTTCATTACCTTTTAGCTTGCTAGAAGTTCAGTAGTTCGGTGGCTACTGATCTAACATATGTGCACTGCTCTAGGTAGGTGCTTCTAGTACAGTATTGTTTAATCATTGCTTTTTTTATTGTCATCTGTAAGCAGAATTGCATCCTGTCGCATTATTTCTACATATATATTCTGCTATTTTTTTCCATGCTGGCAACTCAGTAGGTTGCTACTTTGTGTGATGAAAGCTATGTTTCAACTATGGAACAATATTTAGAATTAAATATATACTTACTATAATTTATGGTGATTTTAATTGATGTTTTAAAAATAGGTTTAGCACCCTTTTTAAAAAAGAATGCTAGTG